TAGTGAAATACGACATAGGGATGAAAAATCCTGAACAATTTTAATATTTTTAATATTTAATATTTATCAATATATATGATAAATACATATTTTAGTTATTTTAATATGAAGATGGCAAGGCATGCAGTGAACTAGTTTATCGTAAATCGAATAAGCACCTGAAGATGGCACTTTTGTGCCGAAACATGTAGTGCAAGAGAGAGGAGTGAGATAGATGAGTGTATGCACTGGAAGACGGTTGAAATAAATCATGGACTTAAATCAGTGCAACAGGATGCTAAAATATAACATTAAATTGAGTATTTTAGATAGCCTGTTAATTATGAACAGGTTACGGCTAATTCTACTGCAGGTTCTTTCAATATGTAATTCCCAGCTCGAGGTACTATCTATTACTACCCTCAGGAAATTTGTGCTTTTTACATTTGATATTTCCCTGTTCTTTATTAGTATTTTTTGATTACTTTCCTGCCTGCACTGTTTTGTCTGGAAGAGAATATAGTGAGTTTTAGCTGGATTTATAAATAAATTATTTGTCTCAAAGTATTGCTCTACCGCTCCTATATTATCTGAAGTCGTGTTTTGGAGCTCATTCATATCTTGTCCTACATTCAGTATTGATGTGTCATCAGCATACATTATTGAGCTGCCTTGTGTTAGATGTGGGATATCGTTTATATACAAGATGAAGAGTAATGGGCCAAGGACTGATCCCTGGGGGACTCCATAATCTCACTGGGAGGCTACTTGACAAATATTCTTTCATACGATTGCCTTCTGTGTGTGTTACTTTACTGAGGGTGCTTGAGAATAGGGTGTTGATGAGAATATTTGGACCGAAGACATATGAACTGACAGGAGGCTGGAGAAAACTGCGTAATGAGGAGCTTCACAACTTGTACTCTTCTCCATGTATAATTGGAATTATCAAGTCAAGGAAGATGGGATGGTAAGGGCATGTAGCACGAATGAGGGAGAAGATGAATGCATATAGGATACTGGTGCAAGAGCCAGAAGGAAAGAGACTACTGGGAAGACCAAGGCGTAGGTGGGTGGACAATATTAAACTGGATCTTAGAGCTATAGGATGGGATGGCGTGGATTGGATTGATCTGGCTCAGGATAGGGACCAGTGGAGAGCCCTTGTGAACACGGTAATGAACCTTCGGATTCCATAAAATATCGGGAAATTCTTGAGTAGTTCCAGATTTGGCTTCTCCTCAAGAAGGGCTCAGCTCCATAAGTAAGTAAGTAATTAAGTAAGTAACATTAAATGTCAGAAAGGCAACAAAAATTCTTTTGATCTTACCTCGAAAGTCCAGTCACTTTAATACTTATTCCCTATACCGATTGCTTGGAGACAACCTTACTCTTCAGCAGATATTATGTTGCGGCCTATGCTTCTTTCCAAATTGTGTACTGGTATTTTGCAGTTGACAGAAATAGTATTTTTGAACACATTTCGATAAGCGTTTATAACTGCGCACCAAACCACACCACTCACAATGCTTCAAAGCACCCCATCATCCAAACATCCATACCAGGGCCGTGAAAACTCCCATGTTATTGGTGGGCAACATGGCCGCCATGACACCACGGTGCAATGCTACTGCCATCTCTACGCATAGTATATTAACTAAATTTAAGGTGGTCGACGGGGCCGGGAGCACAATCGGTAAGAAGGTATGCTAACATAACATAAGAGGAAGATTAACGACAATAAATCTTCGTTGTCTGGGAGGTCTAAGGGGGGGGGGGAAGATTTTTGCGGCCGCTCATTAACACACTCGCCTAAGCTTTTATTAAAATCTACCTACGCACTCGCTAACTCCGACTGTCTCCTAATTCTCTCTTCAGCGGCTTCTTTCATCGACTCTACATCGCCGCTCCCGATCACCAACGGTAATACAATTATCTCTTCTGCGGCTCTTGTCAACTACTGTACACCACTATTTCCTATCACTCACTGACTGTCTATTTCATACAAGTCCCACAGTGGCAATAAAATAAAACAAAAATAATGAGAGCTAGCCGTCCATCATAAACCATGTTAAATTATAACCCAATTAAATAATGTTAGCGAGGGACATGGGTTACAACGCAGCTATTTAATCACTCGAGACCAAGGTAATTCAGTGCGAGTTAACAAGAAAATATGAAATAAAAACTGTAGCGCCATCTGTGGAGTAAAACCTGAACACTCGAGGAAAGCCACGAAGTGTAGTAAAAATGTAGCATCTTAGTTTTTATTCAATTCAATTCAATTTATTTACATTCCGTAAAATCCAGATACAGGTAGACACCATAGGATATGGAACAAGTCAAATACAGTGATTCTGCACAATAACAATCTAATCAAAAAATTAATANTACACTGGTATCATCCGCAAAGAGAATAGGGGTGGAAACCTTATTTAGGATTAACGGAAGATCATTGATATAAACTAGAAAAAGCAAGGGCCCAAGAATGGAACCCTGGGGGACTCCATGAGAAATTTCACCCCAGTTGGAATAAGTACTTGAGCTAGAATGTTTTGATTGTAATCTTATTCTTTGAAACCTACCATTCAAATAAGATGCTATTAATTTGTGAAGTGGGCCAGATATACCATAAAATTCCAATTTAGATAACAATATCCCATGGTTAACACAATCGAAAGCTTTTTCCAGATCGCAAAATAATCCTCCCACACTATGCCCATCATTAAGGGCTTGGATTATCTCCCTTATTGGGCTGTGCAAGCCACTCCTCTGAATAATTCATTTTATAGGGTAGGGCAGGAGATCCGAATGGAACACATGTATGTTTTGGGCCTCCGTGAATGTTTCCGACAAATACTATAGGTGTATTGTGATTGGTGCACACGGGGAGTCGGTGCGATCGCTACTCATAGATGGCGCATGTTCATGATTCCCCTTCCTCTATCCCAATTGCTTGGGGGTGAACCGTGGCATCCGTGGTGAGGCGAAGACCATCACCGACAAATCACAGAGTACAAGAAATTGTTAAATGTGATGGAAGACGGAACTTGTGGTATTGCGTTTGGTAGTAATTTAAATAATGTCTCTCAGCAGTTTAGTATTTCTGCAGTGTCGTTACCACAAGTATCTTCAGGTGATGAACGATCAGGAAATAGGATCGACACTGTTACTGCTGCTAATGATTTACTGGAAAACGGGATTTTGGTGGAAACGAATAAAGGGTTAGTGTTCGTTTGATGTGTGACTTGAATTGTGCTATTATATTTCATCATCTTGCACTGGTTAACTATTTAATTTGTAGGGGCAGCATTGAAAATGCTACTTGTGGTCGTAGAGTGTTGGTATGCTACAGTGTTCATGTATGATATAGACTATGCTTTATAATGTACCAGGTATACTAATAATGAGCTCCATTCTTATTGTTTTTTACAGACTTGTTTGTTTATCGCTGAAAGATGCCCTCATATCAGGTGTTGGAGGTTTAAATCTTTCTGTTGAAGATTTTCAAAATGTTGCTGCACAGCTTCTTACCCAACAAAATGTAGAAAAAGCTACACCTGAGGAATCACCAACACTCACTTTGGGAGATGTAATGCTCAGTGTCTTGCCTGGCACTTCACAAGTATGTATTCAATAAGAGAAGAATTTTAAAAGAACAATATATATAATTTGATTTTACAGGATTTTCTGGGGAAGAATGCTTATACCGATTGTGATTGGAAGTACTTGGAAAGTTGCATCAAGCATATTCATATTGATGACAGTTTATGGGGAAAGTGCCCTGCTAGAATATTCGAATTGCTGAATTCTGTGTTTATTGATGGTTCAACGTCTTCTAGAATGGAAAGAACCTTAACTCTACTACTCTCTACTGCTGAGGGAAAGAGTTTTTAAGGATGCCAGTTACAATCTATATCCTGGCCTTTTAGACAACAGACAACTGGAGCAGCTGAGCTGGAGGCTAGGAGGATTGCCACAGTGTAAATTTATTGATGTTAATATAAGTTAACATCTGCAAGATTTGGGTATGCTTGGCAGGATATATGAATGATGACCAAATACAAATATAAATCACTCCATCCAGTGTGACCTGTAAGTTTTTTACTACCTGAAAACTTAACACCCTTACATGTTTCGGTCTCTGCGGACCATCTTCAGAGGGCAAACATCACTACAAATAGGAAACCACCATCACATAAGTTGTTTAGACGTAAAGTACGTACACTTGACCAAGTGTTAGTCAGCAGTTTTGTTACTGTTATTCATTTGTATGTGGCACTCCCTTAATGCATGTGAAGGTCCAGCCCATGTTTTTAGTTCTGTGATATCTGTATTGATGTGTCACATGAGAAAAAAATATAAGCAGTGTTTAATGTGTATTGGAGGAGTTTGGAGTGAATGCTGCTTTGAGCCATAGGTTGTGAATGTTTACCAATTCTACACATCCTCAACCTCACATAAGATGAATTGAGTGATTACGTTCATGGTCTAGCTGTCTTCGAGTGTGGTGGTTAAGAGAAAATGAATGATGATCACCCAGCCAATTGGACAGTGTTATGCTCACATGGTAGATATTAGGACAGTGGTTCCTACCTTCATGTCACAACCCAAGTTGGGGTTGTGAGTCCTTCAAAGGATCACAAATGATCACCACAAGAATGTTCTTTGCACAGTGTGCATGAAAAAAAATCTATATGTTAATATACTTTTAACTGGGAACCACTGGATAGATTTTGATGAAATTTTATATAAGTATTATGCTACCAGATGGCACACCACAATCATGATTTCCTGCAGTTGGTAAATACAGCAACCTTCAAAACAGTGGTAACCATAGTAATGACAGATTTTCAACCTTTAAAATGTACCCCAAGAGAAATCTTTTGGAGGAGAACAGTGTTATTAATAGTACATATGGTGTACATATTTTTTACAGCAGATGTTACTTCTGTTCTTGGTTTGTTATATGTGGTTGTGGGTGATGCTGCTGATGTTTCAGAGGCAAAATGATGCACAGGCACACATTGTAACAACCCAAGAACAAAAATAACATCAATGAACAACTGATGAAAGCCTAAAGTCAGTAATATTGTCACGCATATTAGTGATAACAGATGGGTATGGATTGGTGAATGAATTTATTGAACTCTTACAAACCATAACTACAATTAATTATAACCGTTTCACCAATTCTTGCTCTTTACTAATCACAGCAGCACTGCTAAGCCTTTTTCAGCCTGCTGTCTTCACCAGATTTATAACAGTCTCACTGTCACTACAGCACACATGACGTCTTCTTTGCAAAGCCTAATTCCTTTTTTGCCACCCTCAATTCTAATTCTGCTGGCCTTGGATCCTCATTATATAGCCTCAGGGCAGATCCAACAGAAAACACCATTTGCTAACAATTACTCTATTGTTATGGAGGTGTGTTTACCTTGCTATTGTATCAAAATGGCAGTTCTTCTATTGTTGCTTGCGTGTTCATTTCTGCAGGTGCCTGTTTGCCAAGTCCTTGCCTGGTAATGAACGTCTACTCTCTCTCTCTCCGCTATTCTGACTTCGTGGTGTCATATCACAATATCTTTTATAAATCATATGATAAAGTGAATAATAAAGGATCATGGGATCTTGAAAGGCAGTTGTGTAAGAGTTGAATTTAAAGTTATAATTAATATTGTACATCTGTTCGGCAGTTATGTGGAATGGTTAGGAACATTTAGAATGACAGGGTGCAAAGAAAATGTGAGGAAAATGCATGCACACCATGAGGATTACATCTTTCCTTTCCAATCTTGTTAAATGCTGAAGCTGTCAAAGTTTTCCAGAGGAGCAGGAGATCCTGTTGGTGAAAAATTCAGAGTTGCACTAGAAAAAATGTTCATAAGCACTGCCTGTGAAGTTTAACTGATGTCAGTTTTTTATGGCACACTTTGCTTGAACACAAGAATTTATTACATTGTTTATAATGGATGTCGAATTAAGACTGGGGTCTTGTGGATTATGTAGTCTTGTAGGCAGATACTGACATTTCAGAGGAATATCCTGTCCATCTTGAAAGTTGAAGTGTGTAAGTTGAGGAATTGATTTTGTTATATAGGCAGGTTGCAAGAAGTCTTCACCCTGATCCCTGCAGGGGGAAAGAAAGTGGCCAGTTTTAGGGTCACACAAGACTACACAGTGTTACAACCCAGAAGACTACAGTCTGATGAACCACTGCCATGAAATTCACAAAATATATAACACTTGAATGCTTATGTCTGTATTAATCCTTTTAAGAAACTCATAAGTTTATGGAAAGTCCATCTGCTTTACAATCCAGGGTACATAACCTTGTCTAGGCAACCTGATGGAAGCAACATCTTCTGTATGTCTGAATTTCCCACCGGCATATGAATGCTGGAAGTATGTTGAAAATAGGATCTAATAATTTCCTAATGATCACTTAATGATCTGTGTCACCAACAGACGTGACACACCCTTGTTCCCCTAGTAGTTGAAGAAATGAAGAATAGGTGGTATTAAATTATAGAGTTTTGTTCTCAATCACTTAAAACAATTACTTTTACATTAGTTCCCTAGTCAAACTTTGAATCCACAGTACCAAATTTAAAGTAATGATAGTAATCTTTAACCATTCTTCTATAAATAGGTTTACAATGGTAATGGAAATCTGGAAATTGTGCATAGTTCTTCGTCTCTTGAAGTGCAGATTGAATTGCCACAGGATTCAACGAAAACTGATGAGAAAGGACAAAAGAGATTAACTGGGAATAACATTTCAGTAAAGAGAAAAGAGACTGAGCCTATTGTGGCTGTCATGTCTTCTACCAGCATGGTTCCAGAACCATCACTTTGCATGGTCCAAACTTCTGATGTCACATCTAGTCAGGTAAGATGATGTACTAGCAAGCAGTTTGCAAAAGGAAACCATTGTGATATTCACATCTAAGATTACTGTATGAATATGTATTTGAACATGGGCAGTGAATGCTTGATTATACACTGCAATGGAGGGGAGTAGCAGCATGGATAATTAAAAACAGTAAGGTAAAGTTGTTCCTGAGCTGGTCACGGTAGCCAAGCGGTCTACAGCATGTACTGTCTTCACTTGCTTGGAAACCGGGATCATGGGTTCGAATCCCACTCGGCATGGATGTTTAGTTTGTGTGTGTGCATTTTTCTGTGTTTGTGTACAGGTAGAGACCTTGAGACGGGCTAATCACCCACCCAAGGAGTCCTACCGAATGCATAAGATCTAGAAACACCGAAGTGAACCGAGAAGTTCATGGAGGTAGGCCTAGGTCCACTGGGGCTGTAGTACCAAGGAAAAAAAAAAAGGTATATTTGTTCCTGTGCTTAACTAATTAAGCACTTCACCGTGAAGGTATATGGGGGAGTGGATGTATAGATCTACATTTACTTGACAGTCAAAAACAGTAGGTAATCTAATTAGTCTAATGAACCCTGTATTATGTTCAAACCTGTTATAAGCTGTAGACTGTAGTCTACTTAAAAGGGGGACAAACATTTTTTTTAATAGAAGGAAGTAATCCTTGTTTAGTGAAAGCCATCGCTAAAAGCAATAAAATAACAAAACATAGTTGCAACAGGGAGAGAATGTGTGGTGCCAGATGATATAAAATATTACAGATCATACAATATTAATGAAACGATGTAATGGACAACAAATGACTGTGGGAAGCTATAATCAATAACTGAGGGGTTCTAAAAGCTCCATAGTTAATCTGCACACTGGTTAACTTCTTGGCACAAAGAGAAAGTATTTACCTGCATGTTCATTGTTCAGTGTACATAGAGGCTGGTGAGAGGATTAAGTATGGTTATACTTATACACTGTAATGTATGAACCTACAAAGTTGCATAGTAATTGTCGCTTTAACCCAACACTGTTGCATAGTTGAATGAATGAATGAATGAGGGGTGGGCCTTGCACCACAACCTAGTGATCTATTGTGCTTCCCCTTTTGATTATCCCCTCAGCAATCCTGCGCTTTGAATGAAGCGCAGGATTTTGTATGTGGGAGTGACGAAATAGTCACTAGGTTCCATAAAGTATTGACCCAAGTGACACAGTCTTAAATAAGCTAAGGCCTCACATTCACACAGGATATGTGTGGCTGTTTCATTTTCTTCTTGATACCTCTCACAAGTGGGACTAGTACTTAGCCCCAGTTTGAAGAGGTGTCCTTTAAGGTGACAGTGTCCTGTAAGTAGTCCCACCACCCATCATAGGTGGTTCCTGTTTAACTTCAACACTTCACTCTTTTAGCAGAGGGCCCTTGTATGAGTCCCTTTGCTTGCCTGAGTCCAGTCGAGGATCCCCAGTATTTCTTGTGCTTCCTATTTTTCCAGTCCCTGATTGTCTTTCTGGCAACTCCTATAGAGATGCCACAGGATGGATCAGGTCCTATGAATGGATGTTGAGCTCCAGTCTTAGCCAGTTTGTTGCATAGTTAGTACTCCTGCTTCATATTTTGGCAGTGATGGATTGAAAAGTGAGTAGAATTTTCATCCCCAAAAATATTTGAATAGTACCTAGAACAGATAACAAGCACTTCCTTATGTGCCCTTCCAGTTTAATCATTTTTTTGATTGGATGCTACTAATTACTACAGTTGTGGCCATGCCATAGCTCAAGTGGTTAGTCGCTGGCGTCCCACCACGGCGGCCCGGGTTCGATCCTGGGTCTGGTCAAGTAGGATTTGTGGTGGAGTGGTGGACAAAGTGGCGCTGGGGCAGGTTTCTCCGAGTACTTCGATTTCCCCTGCCAATTTTTATTCCACCAAATTCTCCATCATCATAATCATGCAGGGCAGGCTACAGTAGGCCAGTCAGTGGCCGCCGTGCTGAGTGGACCGAGCTGGACTCCACCCCCCACTAAGCGAAAAAAAAAAACTAGTACAGTTGAAAAGTATCATAAAATAAAGAAGCAAAACAGGTTTCAGTTTTAACATGTTACAGCAGCAGAAAAAGCGTGGTGGATGGCCAAAAGGTAGGAAACGTAAACCCGAGCTGTCAGAGATGCGCCCTCCCAAAGCTCCAGCCACAGGTTATGTTCTCTACCTCAATGAGAAGAGGAAACAGTACAAGGATGTACCTTTTCCAGAGGTAAACGAGCTTCAGAATATAAAATCTTATAACATCAGGTATGTACAGGATGACACTGATGAAACATACTTATCCCATCAAAATAATTTGATGTTTAAATCTGCTGTTAATCCTTGATAACATTATTTAAATGCACTGTATTCTGAAACTACATGACAGTTTATTTAAGTTAAGGCAGGTGGAGCTCACTGCTCTGGGTGTGATGAAGGGTTACATGGATACTACTTTGTGATTGTTTCAGTAATCACATTTTCATTATGTTTTACAGGGTGTGAATTAGTAATTGCGTTTTCCTTCTGTATCATGCTGCCATGTTCAAAGTAGTTCCACTGCAACTTGATGCAGTGAATCAAGGGACTGAGCCACTGTCAGAAGCATTTGAAGAAGTCCTAAGTTTTGAATTTGGCTTGCATTTGTTTTTGGATCATGATGTTGTCAAGTCTTCTCCCTTTCAGTACCAACATGTGATTGAGAAATAGAAAAAAGTCACATGAGGAACTGTTGAGAGTGCTATTTTTTTTCCTGCAGCTCTTGATACACACTGATACGATGCTGCGTTTCTGTTCTTCAGAAAATGAGAGACAGATTCTGTGGGGAGGGGGGGGGAATCCATGGTTTTAGTCCGCAGGTGAACTATACCGACCGAGTGACTGCTTGTCGGCGAAGTTAATGCCAACTTAAGCAGATAGAGGGTGTCACATGGTCAGTGCAACGAATTGCCACGGCCGTTAATTTCGGTTTTCTAGACTGGAGCTGCAATTTCCTTGAAATGGCTCCTCAGTTATAATCACGAGGCTGAGTAGGCCCTGTTCCAGACCCACTACTCAGAAAATCTGGTAGCACTGGGAATCAAACCTGGACCTCTGACCACTAGACCACAGAGGCAGCAGAGTCTGTGATCATCACATGTTCAGATCTTGGGTCATACAGGTTTCTGTAGGCCAGCCTTACTTCACATGGTGTTACTTTTGAGTGGCACAAGCTACAACTTTGAAAAGACTAGAAGAGGAGGTTTACTTTACTGCAGTAATGTCATATTGGAGCCAGTCTGGAAATTAGCTGTTCCACTACATAAGTTGCAGCTTTCTAATTATATATGTCTTCTGTTATGTTTGCAGGTAACTAAATTACTGGGTAATGAATGGAGCAAACTAAGTCTAGAGGAGAAGCGAATCTACTTAGAACGTGCAGAAGTGGAGAAGAAACGGTATCGGGAGGAGCTCAAAGCGTATCGTCAGTCAGATGCATACCAATCATACCTGAATAAAAAGCGCACAAAAAGTAGGTCATGAAAAGAGGTGCATTGAGTTTTAGTTTGCTGTTGCATATCAGATTATTATTTCTGGATTTGTATAAAACTTTGGTATTATATCTCTTCCCATCTCAAACATAGATTAACAAATGTATTATCATGTAAGGCAAAACTGTTAGATGCACCAATCCATACAATTTTTAAGCTCCGATAGAAACATAAATAACAGCTTCCTGTTGTTGCTATCATGAAATAAATTGACTGAATCTTACACAGTATGTGACTTCTATAACTTACCAACTGTCTAGGGTTTTTTTTGCAAACTTAAGAGAGAATTAATTTATACCCTAGAATCTGGCCACCTGATGAACTTCAATGTTGGCAGACACAGATATTTATAATGTAATGTTAGATATGACCATCTTTGGTAATTTGACATCTTGTCATCAGTGAAATATGCAGAATGGACTATTAACTGTGTACATGCAAAGAAATATATTACCATGCAATGTACAGAGCACTATAATTCTTTGTTGAACCAAATTACTTCTTCATTCATAAACTTCACATCTTAAGCAGTGATTTTTGAGTCAAGATTGTGCAGTATTTTAGAAACGATTATAAATTATTGGTCAGAGTTCCTGGCTACAGATCCAGAGGTCCGGGTTCGACTCCCGGTGCTACCAGATTTTTCGGAGAAGTACTGGGTCTGGAATGGGGTCCACTCAGCCTCGTGATGATAATTGAGGAGATATTTCGAGGAAATAGAGGCTCCAGTCTAGAAAACCGAAATTAATGGCCGTGGGGATTCGTTGCGCTGACCATGCGACACCCTCTATCTGCAAAAGTTGGCACTAACTTCGCTGATGAGGCGATCGTTCAGTCAGTATAGTTCACTTACGGACTAAAATCATGGAGTTTGTTTTTATAAATTGGTACTTCTTGGATTATGGGTTTGCTGTCTTCAGTCTCCATCTTCCAAACCTGGATTTTCAGTAATTCTGTTCATGTATAGATACTCTTCTTATTCTTTGTCCTCTTCTTCTGCCTCCTGTTGATGACCAGTGTAACACCTATTCAGTATGGCCATACAATCTTGATTCCATGTTTCATTCCATACTCTGTTCTTCTCTGTCACCTGAAAACATGTTGCATGATCTGATTCAACTGCTCGTATTTTACTCTGTTTTTTCAGCTGATGGCCCGATTTCACCACTATATAATAGAACAATAACAATTCCATGGACTTTTTTACATAATTTCCTTGGATATATATTTTTATTTTGAATATCCGTCACCAGATCCAGCTTCAGTTGTTATTCATCCTAAGCATTAAAGGAGTCACATTTTTTGTAATAAGTCATACTATGTTTAAATCTCGAACTTCTTCCAACATATAGCTACCCTGTTTAGGTTAATGTTAAGATTCCATTTTTCTGTATTTCTCTTAATTTCTTCATCATGTGTTGTAGAATATTATAATCCTTCAGATCTCTTGTGCTGCAGTAGTATCTGTGAATCTCCACACTGAAGGATAATGGAGCTTGTGAAAGATGACATCACTTTAGACATTTTTATGTGTGAACATTAAAATACTTGATTCCAGAATTTCCCCATATGATTTGTGTATATTTCACATTTTAAATACATTCACTGTTTAAAAGGGGCACACGGTAGTGTATTTGGTTGAGGCACTATGCTACAAACCGGGAGGTCGCAGGTTCAGGTCCCAATGAGGTCATTGGAATTTTTTTCAATTGACTTAATCCTGGCTGCACTATGGCCCTGGGGTTGACTCAGCCTCTAACAGAAATGAGTACCAGGAATTAATTAAATAATTTTCCTGGGGAATAAAGCGTGGCCAGCACATAAGGCTGACAGTCTTTGAGCTGATTGTCTAGATAATGTGGGACCCTCAATGTCTCACAGCCTGTTACAGGGGTAGGTTTACTTTTTTTTTATTTTTACTGTTTAAAAAGATTTTGCACCTAAAAGCATGTAACACACCACAGAACTAATACGTTTTTATATAAACATTCCAACTGTGACTGCTAGTTCAGTTTCTCGCATTGTCCTTTCCTTCAAATCTGCAATGATGAAATGATGGTTTAGCTTAGCCTCCAGAGTTAACACTGTGAAAGAGCAGTTCACAAGGTAAAGCTCTCTGTGCTATTATTTCATTTGTATTACTGGGAAATGTTCTAGTTTTATGAATAATCTGCATCACTATCAGTCTTAGAACAATTCACTGCCATTTTAAAACTGTCTGTGAAATACAGTCAGCATGTTTTAAATCAGTTTTGAATTAGTATGTGCATCTTAACTTTGCCATGTCTGTCTGCCCATGTGACTGCAAGTAACAACATGCAAAGCACTGGTTGGATTTCAGTGATATTTGATATTGGATTCTTGTATTAAGATCGGTTGGCACATTTCGCTTGTAGTTAAGTCGGTCATCTGTAACAGACACTTTATGTGAAGACTTACTTGCATTTTTGCACGCGTCTTGAATGTAACTCCAAGATTCATTAAAGTGAAAAATATTTTGAACAAATGCTGTAGAGAAAAGTGTAACTTACTGTGTGACCAACAAAATCTTATGGCCTTTGATATAATTAAATATGAGGAAACACACGTGAGTTGTTGCTCTGTGAGTACATTTCTGAAATCATGACATTGTTGTGCACTTAAAATGGAAGAACCAATGGTAATTAATATAATCGATGTATGTTCAAATGTTTGCCCTAAACTTGCAGCCTATATCAGATGTGAACATGTGTCATCTGACAGAAAAGGGCATTGTTGGGAATAGGTTAAGAATGGTTTGAGACATGTATATTAAACTGACAGAAGACTGTTGAAATAGAAAAGGATATTCTACAGGGATAGCTTTACCTTTTATTTAAGTGTATAACTAACTAAAGACCTACAATATAAACAACAATATGACCTTCCCTCAATTGTAAACATTGGCCAATGGAGGGGGGGGGGATAGCAAAGAAAGTTGAGAGGGACTGTATAAGTACTGCCTGAAGATAGCCAGAAATAGTGGCCAAAACATGTAATGTAGAAACTGTATGATTATCTTAGAATTATACATATATATTGTGAATCAAACTGAATAAAATATTCTGTATACAATATGCTAAAATACATTATTAGTTACAGAAGCTATTTTAACAAATGAAACTGCAAAACCAAGGTTCTGAATTGTGGCATTACTTTTGAGATGGAGTAAGTAGCATGCATGGGAGAGGAGACATTCATACAAGATTATTTAGGTACAGATGTGAGGCTGCGCCATAGTTCAAGCGTTTATTCGCTGGCTTCCCACTGTGGCGGCCTGGGTTTGATCCCGGGTCTGGTCAAGTGGGATTTGTGGTGGACAAAGTGGCGCTGGGGCAGGTTTTCTCAGAGTACTTCACTTTCCCCTGCCAATCTTCATTCCACCAATTGCTCCACAATCACCCTCACCTATCATCTTGGGCTGGTACAATAGGCCAGAAGTGGCCACAGTGCAAGGGACTTTTGGCCTCACAGGGATTCTGCTGCATGGATTTAGCCTTAGTACACTCAACTCAAAGTTGCCTAACATACTTTTGTTGTAAAGATACACCAAACTGACAACTCTGCCAGTTACTGTGTGCTATAATTCCAGATCTCCAGGGGAATGGAACTGAGGAATCTGATATGGATGCTACTGATGAGATAGAGGTAAATGCAATACTTGATTCTTCTTAAAAGTGACAGCCCAAGTTTTGTAGGTACAGCAGTCAAACTCATTTGAACCCTTTAAAGCATAATGGTTTATATATATAGGGTGTAAATAAATATATGTTACAGTGCTCTGTGTTAGATAGATGGGTTGAATCTGATCATATTTTGTTAATACACCAATGTCTGGAAACGCTTGCATTTGGCACTGAGGATGCATAAGTTTTAAGGGATGTTATCGTTTTACATTATAAAAGTTGTTCAAAATGGTGGCTGCCTGCATGCTCTGCACAGCCTGGCTATGTTCTGCTGAATTCTTTGAAAGATTCCCAGATGGTTCCAGCTGCTACTGCAATTCTTGCCAGATCACGTTGCTTCTCCACTGGAGACTCATATACCAGGCTTTGCATGTACTCTCAGAGAAAGAAATCCAATGGAGTCAAGTCAGCCAAGTTATTGGGTCTCCATGTCCAATCCATCTGTTACCAAAGGTTTCATCCAAATACTCATGTACAACATTAGTGCACTGTGCTGGGGCACCATCATGCTGGAACCACATTTCACAATGGACTTCCAAAGGCACCATTTCCAGCAGCTCTGGTAAGGTCTCTTGGAGAAATGTCACCAGTAAGCTGCAGAGGTAAGAGCCAATTAGATGGTCATCAATAACCCCTGTCCACACATTGACATCTAAGTGGTGTTGGTGGCTTCAGATATGCTTCATGTTAGGATTTGCTTGAGCCCATACATGACAATTTTTAGAGTTGAAAATGCTGTCCTTGGTAAAGGTCCTCCGTCACATTTCAGAGGTCCTAGTGTGTAAACAAAGCATTTTCGGACATGGGTGTAGTAACAAAATATGATCATGTTGAACCCATCTATCACAGAATGTTCTAACACATTTACACCCTGAATACACACACATACACACACACTTATACTCTTAACATATAAAAACACTGAATTTTGTAAAAAGTGTATTTAAGTGTTTCACATGATTCTCAAAATAAACAGATTACTTCCTCAATACTTTTGACTGGTTGGACTTTATAATGTAGATACACTTTATTTCCTATGAGGGAAGAATTTAATGTTTAAGAATTTTCTTGACACTTACGAAAGAGGTTTTACATGAATAGAAATTAGAAGATGTGGTGGTTTTGGCGGGGGGGGGGGTAATTTCAGATAATTATACTGGAATAAGAGAGAATACAAGCAGTTCTTTCTGATAACTCAGATTTCTGTGGTGTTTCATGCGTGACTTGTTTTAACAGATGAGCCGACATTTTGTAACATAAAATATGATTTCTTACATAAGATTCTTGTTTATTTAGTAATCAACTTCTGTGCTTGAAAAATTGACAGAAAGAGGTTTACCATGCCCTCAACATAGGTTGTAAAACTATCAGAAGTTAATACTATAAAATATAAATTGAATTTAAGTAAGAAGTCCAGTCTTATGAAAGGGCTCTGTATTAGAAAGACCAAAAATGAAAGCATGTTCAGTTTTTTTTGGGGGATTTGTGAATGCATAAATCCATTTTCCTATACAAATATTTATAGTATGCAGAGTCCTTTTAACAAGTCATTGAATTTTGTGTTTCTTTTGAACCCACTTTTTGAAGTATTTTCTGGTGTGGAAAGGTTGAATTAAATGATCCCTTGAAAAAATATCTGAGTTTTACTGGATTATAAAAGACATTTAATTTTCATATTAGTATAAATTTCACTTGCTGAGCCTACTGTGAGAGAGGGTGTTCACTAAAACAAGATGAAGGGAGGTGATCAGCTGACATCTATCTACATTTGATTGATAGGAACCTTCAGAATTAGAAGAGACTGCACTGAAAGATCTGGTCTCTTCATCACACTAAAGAACTACTCAGATCAGCAGTAAGGCAAATTGAAGTTAATATTGCTTAAATATTGGAAGAAATCAACTGAGCAGGTTCATGAATTTTTGGTGTAACAATTGCCATTTTGTCCAAGGTTTTTCATGGTTTTCCTCACTCTCCCCAGGAAAATGTTGGAATAGTACTCCCAATTAAGTCATGACCACTTCAAAATTCTGTTCAGTTCCCTGGTCATCCTATATTAGCCCGAGATACTGAGTGTCATACAGTAATGAAAAAATGTGCATACGTATGGTGAGAGCTATTACATGGTAATAACTTATCGATAGTCTACAAACAATATGGTTTTCAGGATGAAGATAATGAAGAGCTATACTGTCGAACGTGTGATCAGTGGTTCAGCTCACTTCACAATAAAAAGGAACATTTGTATGGAAGGCAGCACCTTCAGGTGAGGCAAATTAAGTAAAATTATCATAGTACAGCAAAAATCAAAACTGTTCATTCAGAGATCATGTCATGTTATGAATTTTGTTGAAATTTTGATATTGTGGAGGTTTATTAAGGTTTCATTTTTACCCTTATCAGTGTGCATAGCCCATATTTTTTTAATGCACCTCAGATTGAACTTCATTAAATCTAAAAAGAAATTGCTTATTGTAGAAAATATTGGTATAAGGTAAAATATTTAATAATTGTTAGCTTTCATTTGAAACAGTTTTTGGATATGTTGTACATGTAATTAAATATAAAGAACATAATTTATGCTTCTGCATTGTAAAAATATTCTTACTGTTGATTATGGGGGTTAAGCCAGGCAATTATATACATTTGTATTTGCAGTAAGTGAACATCAAAACCAAGGACTTGTGTAAAACTGTAGACTTCGTACCTTCCTACTTTCATACTTTTGTTACTTAGTGTTACATGAGAGGGTAAGAAGCAACTGTATGTATGATAAAGTATTATGACGGTAAAAGAAATTGATTCTGAGATTTTGAAGGATATGCATGTTTTGAATCTTTCTGGATACAGAAAACAGGCTTTTGGTGTGGTGTCTATGTAAGAAGGATATCTCGAAAGTAAAGATACAAAGTCCAGAAAATATTTGTAAAGCGTTTTCTTTACTCACTTGTAGCACTTTTACAACGCACCTTTATTTACTTTTCAGCATGGTCACATGAATTGTAATGCACTTAGTGAGCCTGGGAACGAGTTTTTTTTTATGAAGAAAGCAGTCTTCTGGGATGTGGCACTGTGTAGATGTTGTGTTAATCAACGTTTCGGAGGAATGTATTGCCTCCATCTTCAGGGTAGAAAGAAAAATAAATCTGCAAGTGGAGATTCTGTGAAAACCAGTACAAGCAGACTGGTTAACACCACATCTACACGGTGCCACATCCCAAAAGACTACTTTCTTCATAGTCACCGCCGTGAAAACCTTAAATCTTAGTTTTTTTTATTCCACAGTCAGAGAAATCTCCTGCCTCCTCTCTTAGCCATGGAGAACAATTTTTGACACTTCTGGATATTGTTGAAGTTTATCGATGGTTAAATGTCTGTCAGCATGAAAGTTTTCATCAATTTTTTGGATGATTTCATCATGAACATCACTTCTTCCCGCTTCAAATTCACGACACCATTTTCCCACGTTTTGCCTGTTCATAACATCTTTGCCATAAACAGAAAAACTTGGTGGTGAATTTCAGCACTAGTTTCTCCTTTTGTGTGAAGAAATCATATTACTGTATGAACCTCATATTTGGTGGGATTTTGAATCGACACGGCCATTTTAAACACACATTGTAAGCACAACGTTGCTATGACTGTGGCCGGTGAACTCTTCCCTGTCATATGGTTCCTATCTCTCAAGGCAGCACTACCATTTTGGGAGGGGGGGGATTCCCTTGCATTTTTACTGGACTTGTACCTTTACTTTATGGATATCCCTCGTATGTATACATCCATGTATGAATGTGTGCTTCACTAGCACCTAAATGGTTGAACAGATTTTATAGTTGGTATGTCAGTGCCTAGTAAATGCGAACATTCCAGTTCCTAACATATGGTTCCTTCAGCTGATTCCCAAAACACCAAATAGTAATTATCTTAAAATAACTAATGATTCTGGTAAAATTTAAGGAGACTATCTCCCTAAATAAAACTACATAGGTGGTACCTTCAGGAAAATAATGGTATATGTACTAGAGACCCAAACATGAAATGTTATTTTTGTCAGAACCAACTTTACTGTTCAGATGAATTCACTGTTGTCCAGTTTTCATCAACCAACAGTGTCCAAGCCCAGCCACATAAGAAAGTATGTCCATTGTCTTTGCATCAATATTTATTCTAGTCAATAGCAGGGGACTTCACTAAAGAACGTTTAGCCGCAGAACAAGATGGAAATATATTGGGCACAAGTTCACATTCCATATCAACTTCGCTGGATGAATCAAGTCTGGATGGAGTGCCCACAGGCCGTTCAGGTGGTAGGGCAGCAGGCAGAAACAAACAGCAAGAAAACTGCTCTGGGGTGGGACCACCTAATTTGACTGATGCTATTACAAGGTTCATGGAAACAACAACAGGTAGGTAGTGCCTTAATAGGTCATGATAGTTGGATCACACCTTAAATGGTACATCCTATAGTATTGAAAAAGTGATTGAAAACTGGGTAATGAGACAACCAGAAAACCTTCAGCATGTTCCAGAAATATTTTGAAAGAACTGAGAGCTGAATATTTTTTCAGAGCGTGAGCGCGAGATTAAAGTGTTGGGTCAGCGGTTGAAAGAAATGCAGAAAAGCAATGCAGACCTCTTGAAGGAATTGGGAGAACTCACAGAACGAGAGACAAGACTGCAGGAAGATATGGAAAGTGAGAAGGAAGCAGAAAGTATTATGGAGCAACAACTGTATAATTTGTGGATGGTCCCCACCATGTCCTATATAAGCTCAGAGGTGGAGCAGGACTCTAGTGAAACAATTCCAGTCTTGATATGCCTTCCAGATGGATCATAGCCACTGGTGTGTAGACACAGCACTAAACATACTTGTACTGTATTTCTTTTCAGTTACTATTTGTGTAAGAAAGAATACACAGAATATTTACACAAGGACCTTGCAGATTTTTGTGAAATAAGAAGCCAAATATAAATCATAAAGGTAGAATCTACTGACTTTGAACTCCCTCTATTTGATTATTTACTTCCTTAATTTTTGTTTATTTGTAATAACGATGTCCTGTGCATGCAGGAAGGTATAAGTCTTAGATTCATGAAAAACAGCTTATGTACCATTACAAAGTTGAATGGAAGAAATAAAAAGAGTATTTCATGGTTTAGATTCTTACTTTGTTAACCCTTTCTGGTCATAGCATTATGAAAAATTTTTCAGCCAGGATGTTATGGGTTTTAAATGCTGAGCCACTAGGTGACTGGTTTATAAAGTGAAAAAGCAAAATGTATACTTAATTTCGATTGTTCAACTCCTGGGCCAACTCAACACTGCTATAATAACTGTAAGTGAAAAGGATGTAGTCTTCAATACCAGATACACTGAGTCCTCTTAGTCTGCCCATGAAGGAAAGAACTTTCTCAAAATGAGTGGTTTTGCAGAGTATGGAAAGTTACATTCATCGCCTGTAAGTTTTCCATAATTTGGAATTATACTGCAAATATAACTAGTGTCACTTTCACCTAATACAAATAATCTGATGCACCACTTAATTGTTTTTTGGGGGGGGGATTATAAGTTTTGAAAATTATTTTGCACTTGAACCCAACCATTGAGTCATCTACTGCAATGCTTTTACATGGCACAAAATTTTTCTGGAACTGTTTATATGTTCTGTCACCCCATGTACTTCCTTTGTTCTCTTGATGGTCTGATTGCTTTCTTCAGTGGTATCATTTCCCCACATGCATCATCCAAATTATCTGTAAAATGCGACATTATGTCACCAAAAAATTTATCTGTGCTTTCCTCTTGCTANGTTTTTATTAGTTATCTTAAAAACCAGGACGATGGATAAAGTCCAAAAACCCAATATATCAGTGTGTTATACACCATCGTCAGAATCCTATAGTAACTAAATTTATCTGTGCTTTCCTCTTGCTAGACCAGCAGTATTTTATGTCATGTAATGGGATTAGGCCCATATATATAATCAGACCTAAAAACAACTTCACTTCAGTAACAGACATGTCAGACCACCTACTCCAAATGGACCACAGAGTCTTAGCCGATGTTCCACAATTTTGTCTCTCGTGTACCTGTTTGTGTCTATAATACTGTTATTCAAAACCCCATCACTGAAAAATAAAATAAAATAATCCATGGGCTTGGAATCTGGCAGAAGGTTAATTTATGGCCCTGTGTTTTTAGTAAATTTGTATTCCTTGGGTTTCTTGTCATCCATCAACACTTTTTTCACTGCCACACTCACTTTCTGACATTTTGAAGCTTGTTTCTTCACTTAGAATTTCTTCTTCAATTTCCAAATCCATCTCATCATCAAAGTAAATATCGAATTCTCTGCTTAACATATCACTACTAAATTCTTTATCCATATCCCAGAAGGCCGAGGTTCAGCCAAGTGTAAAAGCATACTACTAACCTGTGACGTGCCGTAGTATGTAATTGCATTCGTTCCTCAAGAAGTTCAAACAAGGCCTTCCAGGTGGCAGAAGAAGGCAGACAAAACACTGGCATGGAATACAGTGGCCAGTAGCGACATGTGATCAATATATGACCAGAAAAATGCGAAAGAAACTTTGTCGGTCATATATTGACATTCGTCTGTGGAAGCACTCTGCAGTGGCTGTGATGCAACATTAGAAGAACTGTTGGAAGCAGTGTTTTCTATGCAGTCCATGCCAAGGTGTTATAAGCAGGGCGAATCTGGAGTTTAGTTAGTTGTGAGTCACTGGTCAGCAAGGGCGTGAACACAGAAGCTGAAGAGTCTATGGCATTTGAAGCCGTTAATGGATGACTGGCAAACACATAGTAGACTGCTGTAATGAATTGTAGTGTGAAATAGTAACAGCGGTAGAGTTACTTGTAGTTACGTTCTGTAAGCATTCAATAAATCCAAACCACATCTACAGTCACTCATACACATAACAATATTTTCTTCTTCCCTCCGCCTTAAATATGCTGAAGACTGGTATTATCTGACCATGGTCCTGACTTACAATTTTTTTTCCATTAAATGAATTCATATGTATTAAAAGAGCTGATGTAGCTATGTTAACATGTTCTTCAGAGATTTACAAAGTACCCCTTCTAACTGCCCTAAGTCCAGAATGACTGGAGCGTGATCTTACAAGAAACTTCCAGTTATTTTTGTATGTCTCTCATACACTCATTCACCATCATAGCTTTGTGTTTATGTAGAATGATAAATTATTTTTTATCCCTCTATGTTAGAAATATAAATGTTGGATGAAAATGCATGCAAAGTAGAAAGGTTTTTGGGCATACTAGACATAAACAAAGAAGATAAATGAAAATAGAGGATTTGTTCGGATGCATATTAAAAATTAATGTCATTTTAGTAGGGACAGTAATTTCATCCAGAAGAAAAAAAAACAGTGTGGTAGGGTATTCAATGTCAAAGTTTTTGGAACGTTTTTCTGCTGAGAAAAGTGACAAATCTGATTTATGGAAGTGAAACTGATTCTCATCTGAGTGACAGAAGCTCATATTATATCAAAAATGGTAAAAACGAATTTGAATTTGATTTTAGCATTTCTAAAATATTCCAAGATCAGTATTACTCACTCCACTGATGATCATGTTATTGTGTGTTACAACTGAAACATATTTTAACCCCTCACAATATTATACCTTCCTTGCTGCACAGGTCAATTTTTGTATGTGAATATCCTTTATTTTTCTTCATGGCTAGGCAGAACATGAAGAATTATTTAATTCAGCATACTACTAACAGAGTGCTGAAATCATTCCTGCAGGAGCCTTAAGAAACAGTTAAAACATGAAATTCATGTCAGAGTTCCTACAACAGCGAAAGATAATGATGGTTTATAAAATAGGGTTGTACTGAAAGTCATGAGCGACAATTTTTTGTAAAGTAACATGCTTTATTATTGACAAACCAAATACACCACCTAAATCTATAGACCTTTCTTTATTTTTCCACATAATTGCCACTTTTTTGTACACATTTCTCCCAGTGTTGAGAGTTTGAAAATTTCCCTTCTGTAAGATTCTATTCCACTGATACACTGCTTTCTGAATTGCCTCCCTTGTCTCAAAACATTGTCCACGCAGCTGATCCTTCACAAATCTGAAAAGGTGGTAGTCAGAGGGTGCCAGATCAGGGCTATAGGAGGGGTGTGAAAGAACTTCCCACCCATCTTTGCAATTGCTTCCAATGTGAGGCAAGTGTTATCATGCAGGAAGATGTTTCATCCCAGACGTTTATCGCACAATGCACAACGGAGCTTGTGCAGCATCTGCACATAACAAGCAGCATTGATGGTTTGCCCAGGTTCCAGGAATTCGGCCAGAATGAAACCCTCTGCATCCCAGAAGACTGTGCCCATCACTTTCACAGCTAATGGCACTGTCTTTGCTTTCTTTTTTGATGGAGAATGCAAATGGTGCCATTCCATACTCTACTGTTTCATTTCAGGCTCGAAATGATGAAACCAGCTTTCGTCACCTGTCACAATACAGAGCAAAAAATTATTGCCTTCGTGTCGATATCTCTGCAGCAGTTCTGAGGTGATGGCTTTTCGCTGACCTTTGTGGTCTTCGGTCAATAACCGCGGGACCCAACAAGCACAAACTTTCCTATAGCCCAAGCTTCCAATCATCTCCTGTACTGCACTTTGCCCTGTTCCAAGTTTTTGGGCTATTGTGTCCACAGTCATACGCCTGTCATCTTGAATGATCTCATCCACTCTTTCCTTGTTGTGTTCAGTTGAGGCTGTTAAAGGACGACCGCTTTAAGGCTCATCTTTGATGCTGGTGTTCCCATCTTTAAAATGTTTCACCCATCTCTGAACAATGCTTGCACCCGTGCACACACTTCCATAAGCACGATGAAGTCTCTGGTGAATTTCTGCAGCAGGGATTTCCTCTGTCACAAGAAATTCGATGACAGCACGCTGGCAAAATGACATATGGTTGTCGGCCATTTTGTTAGTAGTGACGTGATGCAAGCTATTGACATCACAAGACACTCAAGGTTAACACAACAGCTGGTTCCACCTACCACCCTACTCTCTTTTGTCTGCTGTTCCCAGGTTGCATGCAAATAAAAAGTTGCTCATGACTTTCGGTATGACCTACGTAAAATTGCAATTCTTCGCATAAAGACCATAGCTTCTCTCTTTCTAGCAGTCATCTCTCATTGTTGCAAAACAATATCAATTTATGGAAAAGAGGTGCTACAACTTATTTAAATTTCTGATGCAAAATCTGTGGAAAGTCTGAGCTAATAGAGGCAATATTCTTCATTGCCACACCGACAGAATTGTTGTATCAAAACTATGTCTGAAAATCAAAGTAGAATTGTGCCTTATAGAATTTAACATTTGTTCATAATTTTGATGATATTTACAGCATTCTGTTTGTGATGCATCAGTTTCATTCAGATTTGTTAAGGGGTCCTCTTACAGAATTTAAAAGATACTATTAAAGTTTGTTGGGAACACGTGGTAGCATAGTTGGTTGAGGCACTATGCTACAAACCAGAAGGTCGTGGGTTCGAGTCCTGCTGAGATCACTGGATTCTTCAATTGACCTAATCCTTCCAGCTGCACTATGGCCCTGGGGTCTACATACTCAGCCTCCAACAGAAATGTGTACCAGGAATCTTCCTTGGGGTAAAGGACGGTTGGCGTGCAATGCTGACAACCTCGCCACCATCTATAACCCACCTGTCTATAAAATGTGGGGCCTCGACATCTCACAACCCTATGGGCCTCCATGGCCTGTTACAGGGATAGCTTTACTTTTACCTTACCTATTAAAGTTTACTATCTTTTGAAAACATTTAACTTCATTTCTAGTCTTATTTCTCCAATAATAAGTACATTTTCTCAGTGTCCGTAAGATCTGAACTACCTTCTTTCCATACGTATTCTAGGAATTTAGATTTTACTGATTGTTGCATGTATTCATTTATTCTATAAAAATATTTCATTGGCATGGTTGAAGTGAAGTCTGTTGTAACTTAGTGATATACATATTTAAGATTGAAGTACATGTTTATCAAGTACTGGGACAAAGCTTGAAATGTTAACACATATTACTGATCTGCTTATTGGAAAAGGTTAAGTATGAAATAATATGAAGTGGAAACAGACTTTTAGTAAAGCCTTTGAGGAATAAGGGAGCAAAGAGCATGTGCTCTACCATATTAGTTCTTTGTGGGGAGCAACAAGATGTAGAAATCAAATATTTGTGAGGTATATACAGATCATTATGCATTCCTAGTTTTAAGTTTTATTTTTAAGCCACACATGTAAAATTGTGAATTTTTATCGGTTTGTAATTGATTGAAGTGTAATCATTTTGCTGTTCTAAAATTAGGAACTTGTATCTAAAAATCAGTTGCTAAATTGTATTAAAACAGTGAATCTTACATAAAAAACATAAAAAGGTGAACATATATGAATTATGTTGTATCTATTGTAAGAAAATACATGTACAGAATTTTTGTAAGCAAAAAAGTTTACATTGTATTGCATATAATCCCTGCATCTCCTTTTAAGAGTTGAAGTGGACGTTGTAAAATGGCCTGTGTATATTTTTAAGACCATCATCATCATCAGTAATCTGTCAGACGACAGGTCCACGGTCTCTTCCAAAGCAATTCCTCCAGTTAATGCGATCTAGAGCTTTCTCCTTCAAATGACAGTNCCCATCTTGCTCAAGTGTAGCTTCTGCAAAGTTAGCATTTCGAGGTACCTTCAATGTCATTCTGCTGACTGGGCATTCCCGCGTGGCAAACCATTGTCCATCTAAGTCCATATGCAGAAATTCCTTTAAGTTGTTTAACCCTTCTTACATCCACTTTCGTACATCTTACAAGTATTTCCCAAGACTAAATCTATTCCAACCAATATTTTTCCCTAAAATACAAAAAGTTAATACTCTGTTAACATATTACCAGGAGTTGGCCTTCACTGCACAACAACCCAAATATTTAAAACATTTCAATAGCACCTTCCAGTTTCAATTAGTCTATCAATCATGCCCTGTAGCACAGTTTCTTCCTTAGCCATTAACACCAGGTCATCTGCATATTTCACAGTTTGAATAATTTGCCCTCCTATTTTGAAGTCTCTGAGCCCATCCAGAGCTTCCTTGGTAAGGCATTCGCTGTACAAGTTGAACAGAATTGGTGATAAACAGCATCCTTGTCACACTCCTCTTCCAATCTGCACACTTCTTGTCTCCCCTCTGTCCAGTCATACTCTAACTTTCTGATCCATGTACAATTTGTTGATCAATCTTCTTTCACGCCAATTGATACCTGTTTCCTTTAGGATCTGCATTAATTTGGTCCAGTTTATACGGTTACATGGTATTGCTTTTGGAAAGAGACTACCCAGGAAAAGTGATAATGTGGTAGTTTTTCCATTTGCTTTCCACATCGCAGTACAGCAGCCGTTCAAACCACTCTGGTCACGCCTTTTGCTATACGAACTTGAACCATCTCGAGCATCATTTGCTCTGTGCTTCAAGTCGCTACTGATGACGCTGCTTCCGGCATCAGTTTTTGGTGTCTCTTCATCTGATGCCTACCCTTTGACCTGTCCAGCAAGGGAGGCCCTGCCAGTAGCTACGCTACCACTGGTATAGCTCTCAGGGTCCTTGGCATACTCAAACCCCCTCATCACGAGAAGGTGGAGACACCAACGAGGGGATGAAATAAATAGTAACAAAATGTGTATACACTTGAGTACACTCAAATGCTTTCCAATAACTGTAGCAGTCCTCCAAAATGTATTTACAGCAGGAGTGGAAAGGCTTTACTCCATAATGTACACAAACTTATCATGATTCTTTGAAGTTTAATATTAGGCCTAAATGTGGGAATGACAAAAGGTTTACAGATTACAAGGAAAAATCCATTTATTAACTATGCAAACCAAGCTTCCTTATGGCTGAAAATCAATCTTGGGTTCAAGTCTTGATGAGGTGAATTTTTTTTCAGTTTACCTAATTCGTGCAGCTGCACTATGGCCCTGGGGTTGACTTAGCCTCTAACAGAAATAGGTACCAGGAATCATCTTTGTTTGGTGTTGTGGTTCTGGGCTTACTGCATGGTTTTTTNGCCGGCGCTTAAATCGACAGCATTATCACTGTCTGTGAGCCAATTGCCTAGAAAATGTGGGAGCCTTGACTTCTCACAATCCTACGAGTCTTCGTGACCTGTTACAGGGATACCTTTACTTTACTGTGACAGTACCATTAACATGGGGCATCAATCTGGAAGGAGACTACTATCATACCTGTGATATTTGGGTTGGATTTCACAGCAGATCCTACGGTACCTGACAATGAATATACACAGAAGCTACAGATTATGCAGTGATGTGAGGACATTAATTACACAAATATCACTTAATTTTTACTTTATATAGCATCATAATGCTTGTTCCCATTTCAGACCCAAAGTATTTTGGACAGGAAAAAGAAATTAAAACAGAAATGGAGACAAATGGAAATATTTATTAAAACAAATTTTGTTCATATACTTTAACAGTGAAGCCAAAGTGATGTATCTGTATGTTCCCCAGTGCCACTTTTTTTTTTATTAAATTGTAATACCATTCAACCATCTATTAGCTTCTGAAGAAGTCTGCTTTTTAGAGTTAGTCTTTCAAAATCTGCACATGTAACATTTACATATCTCGTGACAGTGCTATCCTCCGATTTATCAGAACATCAATCCAGGCATTACAAAAGTCTATAAAGAGCACCATAAACACCCATAAACAATTAAACAACCCTATGAAAAAAGAAAAGAAAAAAGAAAAGAAAAAAGAAAGATAAATTCTGAACTTGTTTATATGGTATCATTCCTGTTACAATATCAAAATCAACATTTAAGCCCTTGTTTGTAATTCAGGAGGTACCCATGTTGAATCCCAGCTGGAAATGATATCCTGCTCAAAATTTTTCAGTTTTCCCCACTATCTCTTAAAAGAGGCCAAACATGCTTTCTCCAACTTCTGCTATGATTAATCATCAGTAATCTCCCTACCATTGTTCATTCAAAGCTTCAATGATGCAATGTCATGCAATAATTTAACATACAAACATCATATGCATGCAAGCAGTGCCTCTGTTTATAAGCTCAGCAATTTACATCACTTGGAGTATAGGGTGGTTGTGGGTTACACACAAACATGTATGATATTAGGCTACATATCCAGCATATAAAAACTGGCCACAACTGAAGCTCATTCCCCAGAGAGCAATTTGAAATTAGAGTCCTGAATAGTTCTCTATCTTCCTTCTTTGTTTATTTTGTGCTACTGGTTCTTCACTGATCACATTCCTGTGTATAGAAATGTTCTGAGAGTTCAAAAATTTGAATCCTGACTTCTCTGAAAATTATGCCAGGAAGACCATCAGGAAGTCTTGTGAATGATGACAGTTGGTACAGGAAACACCTGGCACTCAGAATTAAGAACAAAGCAGTGTTATTAATACATCCAAACAACAGATGGCCCAGCAAAAACATTATCCAAAAGCATGTCAAAAGATGGGTAACACCAATGGATAACAGGGGGAAAATTTTTTTACCAGTTATAATTGATACAAATTGTTGCTAGTGTATTTTAGATCAGGCAGTGTTGCAGCAAAACTTTTCAAGTAAACTGCTCCTTATCACAGCTCAAGCAATAAATCTTCAGGAGTGTTATGCATATCATCACCATCTGAATACTTATAGAGATGCTATGTTAAAAAATAGTCATATTTCTTCTGAAAATATGCTATGAAACATCTTCAGTTACTACCTCAAAAGATATCCTAGACAGAATCCAAAATTCATACCAAAAATTCCTAATACGGCATGTTTGGCCCAGAGTTTGCCGTAGGAGTTCAGAGCTGTAGAAGAATATAAAGAAGTCAGAGATTCTCTAAATTTTGCTCCATGGACATTTTCATGTACTTTCATTCTGATCTCTACCTCTAATTATGATTCCATTCTCATTCCTGGTCATGCATAATTCAGGACCCAAAAGTTGCTTGTATGTTGTATTATCACACTGTAATTGGCTAACATAACATACCTCAATTTTGTTATTCTGATCCACAAGACCTACATTTCTGCAGATTAGAATTTCTTATGGAGTTGGCTATGCTTATAAAGGCTGTTGGGTTTTAACAGTTTCTCTTCTGTTGCACTGACCCAAACAGGCAAGTTCTTCTAAGCTTGCCATGATATAATTTTGCTGATGTAACTGATTTTATAATGAATGTAATTTATCACACACACATATGCTGAAATGGAACTGTAATGAAAAATAATTTCAACATGTTCTGCTTATCTGTGACAGATCTTTCTTGTACATGTAAAAATGTTCATGTAACAGTGTGATAATCGTTTCATAGTATGTACCACTAGGTTTGGTAATACACAAATTAATGGTACTTATTCTTCGACAAAAAAATTCCATTTATAAAAATGTATGTCCTTAGAATTGTGACTAATATATGAGTACAGATTGGAGCAATGAGATAAGTAGTAGTTATATGGCATTTAGTCCATTACGAGACACTGTCTGTGCTCACTGGCCACAGAGCAACCATGCACAAATGACAAAAAGAGGCTGAACATGGAAAGTCTGGTTAATTCCAGATCTGCGTGTAGTTCCAGCACCCATTTTAACTCACTTCATGTTCACTGATTCTTGGATGATTTTCGAGGCTTAAATTTGCTTCGAATACAGTCATTAAGTCCTTCTCTGTTACGCGACAGTTCAATAGCATAAAACTGTATTCTAGTGACAAGGATGCTATTGTGTTCTGAGTATTCTCCACTGTGATCTAATCGGAGGAGAGTTCCGAAACTGTAGTCTTCCACAACATCTTTAAACTTTTCACAGAATGGTCTCCATTTCTGCAATTCAAATGTAACAAATGAATGTGAACTGAGCACCAACTGTAAATCTTTCTTAAGCGTTAATACAAGGTGTGACTAGAAAATTCAGACTCATTAGGCCACGCTGGTATTTGAGCAGTTGTGTCCTATGCATTTACCATGTCTCACAAAATTAATAAATGTGGTTTGTGCTTCAATTATATACATTTGCCTGATAATTATTTTAAGGCATGCATTAATCTCAAATTTCTAATGAAACTGAAGAAAACAACCACCAAAAGTTACAAATTGTTAGAAGTTTATGGCGAGTCTGCAATATGAAAGGATGAGTTTTCAAGTTACATGATTTTCAGAAGGAAGAGAAGCTGTCAATGATGATTTTCAATTGGGTCAGCTGAAAATAACGAAAACCCATAAATACACTGAAGAATTGGAGTGACTTCTTTGTACTCACTAAAGAACAACTATCAGAATGAGAGCCAAAGAACTGGGCATGCATGAATAGTGTGTTCATCAAACATATGGGTGGGTGCTGCAACAAAAAAACACTCACTCGCTCATGCTGTGGTATATAGGTGAGGCAATTTTTGATTCAAAAACAGATCCTTCTGATCAAACATCCTCCCTTCTCTCCTGATTTGGCTCTGTGTGACCTGATTCTGTTTCCAACTATATCTTTGCTCCGAGGGATGCATTTTGGAGCATTGGAGGAAGTCCAGCAGCATATTTCACACAGTAAAAGCAATATCAGCATGTGCGATTTGGAAATGCTGACAAAGGGAACTACTTCAAATGAAGCAAGAGCAGTTAATAGGTAAAGTGGGTTTTAACTTATAAAATAATTCCTGGAACTTTCTCGCCACACCTCATACAAAGATTATGAAAGATTCTCAATTCTGATAAAGGACATATATGAGCACTGTTATGAGTAATGGATTTACTGCTGGTTTTTAGGTTACCAATACAAATTTACTAATCACTTCTTAAAAATGAAAAACAACCCCCCTACCAAGTCCAACTTAAAATTAAAATCTCAATTGTCATTGCAAAATAATATTTGTAATTTCATATCGTACATGTATACACATCTGTCCCTATCCTATCTCTAGAGATAGGGACTAGCTCTATCGATTGGGCCCAACTGAGTGGGGTTTACCTGAAGACAGAGACAGAATCCGGTCTCGGAAACATTATGTTTTGAAAAATAAACAGGACGGTGTTTTTAGATGAAGACAGGATGATGGATAATGTCCAGAAACATAATATTTGTACTAATGATTATATATATTGCTCATTATGTGACTAAAACAAATAATATGCAACTTTTGCAGTTTTCACTGAATCACCCCAGAAGGTTAAATACTACATAGTGAAGAAACAGCATGTTAAAAGTTCTGCAAATTGTGCATACAGCATGTTTTTCTTTTGGCTGTTATCAAGTTTAGGTAATATTTCATGCCAATCATAATGTGATGCACAATTAATCTCAGCAAATACCATCAATGAGCAGAGATGTCTCTATGATTCATGTGACATATCATGGTATGAATGATGGTATGGAGTAAACAGATTTATATTTATTTTATGGCAATGTGACAGGTGAAATGTGTATCTAAATACTGCAGATGTTCTTGCAGATGTTCCAGTACTGAGGAGCAACACCAAATTCTGCACTCACTATTCACGATTTTCTAGATAAGATGTTTTCAGGTTTAAGTTGACTGGACAGCATCTGGACTTCCTTCTGTTCCCCACATCTCTTATTACTCTGGGGCGTTCTGCTTGGGATAAAGACAGCAAGAACAGGCTGAAGAATCAGTCCAGTTCTGATATATTTTTGTCTTTGAAAGTAACTAATCTTTAGAATGACAGCAGACAAATTTAAGAATAACTGATGAAAGGACAAACTTCTCCCTCCCTCCCCAACTGCGTCACACACCCACATGCATGTGCAGAGAGAGAGAGAGAGAGAGAGAGAGAGAGAGAGAGAGTACATCTAACCCTTTCCAGTTGTTGCGTTTGGAAAACTTTCTGCAGCTAGGATGTCAAGGTTTTTTAAATGCCTGTCGAGCCACTAAATGAAGCATTTTGCCCTAAAATTGGTGCAACAAGGGCAAAAAAAAAAAAAAAGGGTCCAAAAATTGTCCAATTCGTGGGCCAACTCAACGTTACTATAATACTGGTCAGTGAAAAGGTGGTAGTCTTCAGTACTAGATACACTGAGTCCTGGTCTGCCCATTAAGGAAAGAACTACTCTTGAAATGAACATCTTTTCATAGCATGGCAAGTTATACTCGTTGCCTCTAAGTTACCTGTAATTTGAAATTATACTGTGAACATAACCAGTATCACTTTCAGCTAATACAAATAATCTGATACCCCACTTTGTTGGTTTCTTGGGTTATAAAGGTAAAAAAAGGTAAAGTTAGCCCTGTACTTAACTAATTAAGCACTATGCCATGAAGGCGGATGGGGGAGTGGATGTATAGATCCACATTTTCTTGACCTCAGCACTAGCTGGAGATGAGTGGTCAGCTTCACGCTCCTGCCATTTTACCCCCGGTACCCACTGGATAGGAGGCTAGGTGGGCCACAGAGCTGGTTTGGACAAAGTGGAGAAGAGAAAATTCTTGACCCTACTTTGACTCGAACTCTGACCCTTCAGTCATCCAGCCTGTAGGCAGTCACTATACCAACTTGAACCCAACGGTTGATTCACCTATTGCAATGCTTTTACCTGGTACAACATTTTTCTGAAACCATTTCTCTACATGTTCTATTACCACATGTACTTTCTTTATTCTTTTGATGGTCCGATTGCTTCCTTTGGTGGTATCATTTTCCCACACTCATCATCCAAAATATCTGTAGAGAGTTATCTCTGGACATTACACCACCAAAAAATGTTATTTGTTTTCTTCTCATTAGACCAGTAGTCTTTTATGTCGTATAATGGGATTAGGCCCATATTTATAAATAGACCTAAAATCAACTTCACTTCAGGAACAGACACATCAGACCACCTATTCCAAATAGACCACAGGCTTAGCTGAAGTTTGGCAATATTGCGTCTCACGTACCTGTTTGTCTCTATAATAGTGGTATTCAAAACCCCATAACTGAAAAATAAAATAAAATAATCTATGGGCTCGGCATCTCGCAGAAGGTTAAATTGCGGCCCTGCATTTTTATTAAATGTGTGTGCCTTGGGTTTTTGTCGCGCATTGTCATGTCTTCCCACCCATCAACACGCAACAACATTTGTTTCATTCTCACTCTAATTTTCCAGCATCTAGTTACTCACTTCTTCACTTACAGTTTCTCCTTCAATTTCCAAATACATCTCATCATCAAAGTCAATATCAAGTTCTTTGCTTAACATATCACTACTAGATTCTTCATCTACATCATGGAAGGGATTATATCCCAGTTTCAATCCAGAAGGCCAAGGTTCAGCCAAATGTAAAAGCATATTACTAAACTGTGACATGCTGTAACATGTAATTGCATTCGTTCCTCAAGAAGTTCAAATAATGACTTCCAGATGGCAGAAGGCTGACAAAACATTCATGAAAGAACGGGCACAGAGTACAGTGGTCAATAGCAACATATGACCGGAGAAACGCGAAAGAAACTGTCGACCATATATTGACATTTGTCTGTGGAAGCACGGTCATCATGTCGATTATATATCAACATATGACCAGAAAGGGTTAAACACAACTGATAGCATTACAGCTGTATACGAAAAAAGCCTCTATAAGCCGTAAATTGATGTAGAAGTGTTAGAAAATAAAACCCAGTATCAATTGTTAACATTCACACTTATTTGTAAATTAGCTGTCTCTTTCTATGAAGAGAAGTGATTAAAATACATGGGCTTTACTGTAAATAAAAGATGCCATTTGGAAGCAAAATTCTGCCTGTAAATAAACACATACTGTACACTCGTGTAACAGATTAAAGAATGGGAAGATATTGAAAATAAGGTACCTGCTTTGCTTCGAAGCTTTTTAACCCCTCTTCATCCAATATATCCACCTTGAGATCTGGGAATTCTTCCCGGAAAGTTTTATAGATATTGTCATCGTGAGGAGTAAGCTTGAGTAGTTTTGGATCAACTGAACACAAAATCTGTAACATGATTAAAAACACTCTTTCACCATATCATGAACCAATTTAAAATAAACAGATGCAAAGGCAGATCTAAAATAATGTTTTTAATGGATCTTAAGAAGCTTCATAATGTAAAACATAGTTCTTCACAACTATCACTGGAAACAAAGTGATTATGACTCACTGCTAAGGCAGGTACACTACATGATGAAATACAAATGTTTATTAATTAGTAACTTAGTGCTGTGGTAATGCTCTAGACTTGTATTCAGGATGTTACAGATATGAAAGTCAAGGTTTTTAGTGAAGTTCCTCAATCTCTCAAGTGAATGTTGGATTTACACCTTGAAACAGGACACAATTACCTCTTTCCATATTACATTACATTACATTGCATTGCATTCCATGGATTCAAAGTTAGTCAAAATGACTGTAGGACGTGGATTATGTCATATAAATACAAAACATATGTACAGACCCAATGGGAGTTCTCACACAAGAGAAACCAAGAATACACAGTGACTACACACAAGGCTATTTAAAGATACATAAGTTATTTTCTAGACAATAGGTATTCATCAGCAGAGTAAAATGAATGTCTATTTAAGTATCGTTTCAGTGCTATTTTAAATCATGCCTTTTCATTCATAAGACCTTTGACATCAGATGGCAGGTTATTAAAAATGTTGATCCCAGCATAATATGCGCTTTTCTGGAAGCAATTGGTTTATGAAGATAGTGTTTGTGTCTTGTGTTAACACTGTGTACATCTGCATTCGTCTGAAAATGTTCTATCATGTTCCCACTCTGCAATGTTTAGAACTTAATAAATGAATCAATATACTTATTTTGTTTCAGCCTATATACAAACAGTTGGCACCTCTACATGATGACCTTGTATAGTGAGTGATTCTAGTGATGACAAAAATCTATAGCAACTCAACTTTTTTAATCAATCCCAGTAACCCCATACGCTCTGGTACATCTCAGTCCAGTGAGTGCCCTGGTGCTATTCACAACCATACACACGAGATGTGGCTATTAAATAATAAGACTGTTATCATAAAAATATCTATTGTTAAGTATGTTACAAGTTATCTCCTTTAAAGTAATTCCCCTGGGCACGTACACAGTGCTGCATGCCAGGACGTATCTCTGAAAATCATTTAATGAAAGCCTTTCCAACAGTCTGTCATTTTTTTCTGGTAGGTTTTACCTGAAGAAAGAGATACACTCCAGTCTCTGAAACAATTGTATTTTGAAAAAATAAACATGATGGTGTCTTTGGATAAAGATAGGATGATGAATAATGTCCAAAAACATAATATTTGTACTAATGTACCATCGTCAGAAATTTTTGATCTTATTAAGAATGAAATTCAGTCCATGACACAGCAACCAATCTATTACAATCACTATTTCCATCATACAATTATAAATTAATAAGAATATCATATCATTTTTCTGTATAAGATTACCAGTTACCTTTGCACTGCCATGGCTGGAGCAATTTGGCCAATATTTATGTCCAACTCGGTTTTATTTATTTTATAGCTAAGAGATCCCATCACAGTATACAGTCTCAATTTGCTTCATCACACAAGTAAATTTCCTACCTCCAAACAAATGCAAGTGTACATATATAATGGTCAAAACAAAATTACTCAACACCTGGTTAATGGCAAATTTTTCATCTTGTAAAATTCTGTAAAGTAAAGTAAAAGTAAAGCTATCCCTGTAAGAGGCTATGAAGGCCCATAGGGTTGTCATTGATGACTGTATCATCAGCTCAGAAATGGTGGTAAGGTTGTGAGCCTTACGTGCCAGCTGCACTTTACTCCCCAGGAAAATTATTTAATTAATTCCTGGGAACTCATTTCTGTTAGAGGCTGAGTTGACCCCAGGGACATAGTGTGGCTGGAAGGTTTAGGTCAACTGAAGAAAATTCAATGACCTCATTGGGACTTGAACCCGTGACCTTCCATTTTGTAGCATCCCCCTGTAAAATTCTGTACACATTAAAATTCATATAGTATTTGAATACTTACATTGAAGTACACTTCTGCATGTTCTAAAGCCTTCATAGCCCACAAAGCTTCAACTGATGGCTGTAAGCAAATAAAATTACTTTCATATCCAACATGTACATTTTATTACATCTTGAACATGCACACGCGCACACACACACACACACACACACACACACACAAAGGGGAGGGGGGAATTAGTACAATCTCACTGAAATTTCAACAGATGATTGGAGATAGTTATTTTTCTAACTCATATATGTAACTGACAATCAAATATCATCAATTCCACAAATAAACAACAGCGGCACAATCATTTCATACACATGTCTGGATAGTGATNTTTTTTGGATTTCTTGAACAAATATAAATACAATACAATACAATACGATAAATGCAGTATCATGCCTAAAGTAAATCTGTATTGAAATTTGATAAATTTTACATATGGGTGTTATTTCAGCATCTCAGTCCATAACAATAGTTTCAAATAAATAATTTTCATCTCTCTGCATAATCTTATACAAAACTGGCTGCCATATGCAAGAAAAAGTTATCTACTTTTAACACAAAACATTAATTGAAATTGAACCTACGTTATATGCTATATACATAATTTCTCTATAGAAAATACACCTCTGTAACAATTATCCACCCAATTTATCTGGTCATTTGCCAAACATTAGAGGAGATCACATTTCATTGACTGAAATTGCTTCCTCCTGAATATCCACATCTGTAAAGTGAATCTATGCTTATTAGAAGTTGGGACAGCCATTATTTTCCTCTGAAATGTTGGAAGTTTCTTGAAACTCAACACAGTGTTATTACTCAAATCAATATTATCATGAACATCAGAAATAAAATGTCTACTACAATGAAGATGTCAAGAAAAGAACTAACATGGACGTAATAATGCGGGTTTACTGAACAGGTTGTTCTAGAGGTAATGCCTTGTATTTGGGCTTTGCTTAGTTAGAATCTTGGCCAGGACACCGGCTACTGTGACTGAGGGTTTTAGTGGTTTTTCTCAGTCCCTCTAAGCAAATGTCAGGATAGTGCATTGATTAGACAATGACTTTCCTCCCAAATCATTATTCCTCTATCATCTTACCATCTGATGCTATACAGTCTCGCTACTAGAGGCATCGTTAAATATCCTAGGGGGGACCTTGTTCAAACATAACCCGCTGTCGCAACAAACAAAATGTGACAATGTCATTTTTATATTGTTTATTATCATAATTAATTCCAGGAGGCCTCTAACTTCTTCTAACATGTTCATCAGTTATGTAGAAAACAATCTGATCCATCTGTTCCCATGATGAATGGAAGAAACAGAGAAAGTAATTATACAAATTATGCAGCTACCCAACACTTTCAGTAATGCATCAGTCGATTGTGAGGTTATTGTAAAAACAAACAAGGTTCAAACCTACCGGATATTTTTACCACATTCATACTTAATAGAAAACGAATTATTATTAATATCACTGAGAAGATTCCCTTAACAAAGAAACTAAATTACTACAGTACATTATTTTCAGTACTTACATCATTATCGAACTCCTCTGCTGGCCGGGTCAACACATTGGCACCTGCAATAAGTCCGTCCGCGCCCTGAAACAACATTTATAAAATATAATTCTACGTAATCAGTATTTATTATGAATGAACATGTTAATTAAAATTTACAAATCGGTTATAACAAAATGATTACACTCACTACATCATTTGAAACACTAGCCATCGCCATACTGTTTCTTTAATGAGAATATCATACGCATCACTATAACATTGACAGGTTGTGACACATGTTGGTGCTATATTTGTCGAACCCATAGACAACGTAAATATAATAGCTTCACTATTATATCTTCATGCTGCGTACAAGTTGATCTACCTTATGTTTCTTCTGGTCATTAAGCTATGGAATATTAAACGACATATGTGCTGAATTTTTCATACAGAGGTAAAATTTTCTGCTTCTCATACAGCTCACAGATGTCAGGACTGTCAGGACCGGTAATGACATTCGATAAAACAAATGTTTTCACTATAACATTTTTAGAACATCTTGTGTCCAGGTAGGTAATTTTTATTGCACATTCTTATCCTCGTCGTACAAATTGTCACAATGTAAAAACTTTGATATGACCTCTTCCCATATAGTAGGAAATTAAATTACTACTGCTTCCACATAAATAAATTTTGATTGCGTGGCCTCCGTAAAATTGTCCCTGTGCCTAATTAATTAAGGACTGTGTCGTGAAGACATATGGGGGAGCAGAGGTATAGCTCCACCATTCTTGACCTCGGCATAATATGGAGGTGAGTGGTCTGAAAAAAATAAAACTTTACACTGAAACCCACATTACCCGCCTAAATATATACCCTGTAAAGAGGAAGTCTTATTTCAAGGAAACATAATTTAATTGTTCTGACATTCAATGATATGTAGAACTACACAATTTGGCGGTACAAAGACCCTGCTTTTTCGTGTGGGCTGGAGGGTATATACTCGTAAAATATTTATTTTGCCTCAGTGGTGTGCACCTTTTGCTTTTGTAATGCATGATGATGGGTTTATTTCCATAGTAATGCGGCATGTAGACTCCTTGCTAGGAATGACGCGAAATAAGCAAATCTGTAACAGCCGTTGCTAAGTAACGGCTCTGCAAACAAGCATGTATGTATATAAATGATACTCGCCAACACCTGGTGTATAATCCCGTGTGGGAGAGGGGTCGAATACCTCCACCGTAGCCCTGCGAGTCGTAGGAGGCGACGAAGAGGTAACCCAGTGCCTGGGAGTATAAGTGGGCCACCCAGTTACTGGGGGATATAAGTACGGGGACCTGGCCCTCCAGGTTGGGGGAGTCTCGAATCTGAGACAGTAAAATGTGGTCATGAGTCCCGCGTGACTCGGACCTGAGAATGACTGCGCTGGTGAAGGCCAGCAGCAGTTGTAAACGACAGACCCATCCTCTCGTCAGAGGGGATGTTACAAAAGGACTACAACCGCAAGTGTTCGGCTTGAAAATAAAATTACTGGTCGTGAGTCTCAAGAGACTTGTCGCTAAGACGAACTGATTGGCGGTAAACAGCCAGTCATAAAGAAACTCTAAATTCTGACCTGGTGTCTATCTAGGTCCCTTTGCTAATGGCACTCGTATATGTACGACAGACCGCAAAGAGGGCTATGTTCTCAGAAAGCTGCAGGGAGGTCTCAGTGATACTGAGACGTGGTGTGAGAGCTGGAACATAAAAATTAATGAAGATAAGACTCAGGTCATCTACTTTTCTCATGACCTTAGGCCCCTGGAGCTCATCTTGCATTATCCCCTCATCAGTCATGTAAAATATCTCGGTGTAATCTTCGATAAGAGAATTACATGGAAACTACACATGGGCATGATCTGCTATGAAAAGCATATACTAACAAAGAACTTGTATAGAGTGGAAAAGGAAGAATTTTCAGTAACAAGCTAAACATTTTTTTCGCATAGTGGGGGGTGGAGTCCAGCTGGGTCCACTCGGCACGGCGGCCACTGATTGGCCTATTGTACCTGCCCCGGGTGATTATGATGGAGAATTTGGTGGAATGAAGATTGGCAGGGGAAACCGAAGTACTGGGAGAAAACCTGCCCCAGCGCCACTTTTTCCACCACAAATCCCACTCAACCAGACCCGGGATTGAACCCGGACCGCCGTGGTTGGAAGCCAGCGACTAACCGCTTGAGTTATGGCGCGGCCCAGTAACAAGTTATACTGTGATACGCACATTGGACGAAAGGCCAGGCATATTCATAAGAGGCACAACAATCTTCTTGTCAGAGAGAATGTCATGTAAGGATTATGGCCGCAACGGTTAAGTTGAAAAAAAGTCTCTGGTCGTGAGTCTCAAGGGGCTTGACTCCAGGACGAACTGATTGGCAGTAAAAACCGTCAGTCGTAAAGTAACTTTGACTTTGGAGATGACAGTCAAATGACTGAGAATAGATGGCACAAAAGAAATTATATTGTGAAACGGGGACTTTATGTGTGCTGAGTCGACCCCAGGGTCATAGTGGGGCTGGAAGCATTAGGTCAATTGAAAAATTCAATGACCTAATCGGGTACCGAACCCACGATCTTCCGACTTGTTGTATAGTGTCTCAACCAACTACATCGAAACACATTTCAAATGCAGCTTTTTATGCTTCTGTTATGTTACGAGCATAAGCCTACTGTCATCATGAAAAGCGATAAAAGGCAGTGCCCGAATTAACACGAAAGAGGCATACTCTATCAATATTTTTTTTTTACTCCAATAATTATACAATCTATCCATTAAGTGTGGATAATAAGTACATTTTGTGGTTTACATATAGAAAAGGAAAGATAACCTTTCAATATAAGTACAGTATTTGTCATAAAGAATAATTTACGCTGTTGTTAAAATTTTCATATATAATTTAGTACAAATTAAAATGTGATTTTCTCTTTGTTTTACAAGATACAGATTTATCGAGTGTTTTCTGTGTACAGTAAGAACTCTGGTACAAGAGACGTAGAATGCAAATTCTGATACATATCTCCATGAGGTCTCTTTTCTTAGAGGTGAACATAGCATTTTCTTTAATGAAAGTACTTGAATTTTCTGCTACACGGCACTATGTGTTAGACTCTTGGAGGAAAATGTAAATATAATAATTATGTGAATGTAATTTATTTGGGAAATCCAAAAATACCGTCTATTACAGACACGGGTGGCAAATAACTGTCGAAGGCAGATCATTATGAATAGCAATGGGTCCAAAGAAAATTCCCACTTGGCTACTACATCATTAAGAAAAGTGTATGATGCAGCTGGTTATGAGAATTCAATGTCTGTCAAACGTAAGTAAGGTGCAGGAGGAGGCTGTGCGATAGCTAAGGCAGTTAGCCACCAGCTTCCCACCACGGCGGCCCGGGTTCAAGCCCAGGTCAGGTCATGTGGGATTTCTGGTAGAGAAAGTGGCACTGGTGCAGATTTTCTCCGAGTACTTCGGTTTCCCCTGACAATTCCACTGGCTGCTCCACACTCATCATCTATCATCCGGAGCTGGTACAATAGGTCGTTAGTGGTCGACTTACCACGTGAACTCAGTCTCACCACACCCCAGAAAAAAATGTAAGGGCAGCAGTAGATTCTAAAGGGTTCTGGCAATGGTTTTGAACCGTGCTCATCGTCCGTTATCCTAAAGAACACACTCATCAAGCCTAATATCGGGTGTTTCTTTAGCTGCAGTTATACTGTCATAGGTTGTCCAGTAATTGAGGTCAGCTCTTCCTAGCGGACCGAAGAGAGTAGGCGTCTCCCACACTGCAGTCGAGGACGGAAATAGATAAGTTTCCGAAACGTTGTGTTCTTTATAATAAGGGACGGTAGACGAAGTCCAAAAACCAAATAATCCGGACCAGAGTGTTTAGCATCTACATGTAAGGGACAAAGTTACGGTGAATCTTCCTTTCAGACTAATAGCAGAAGGAGCCATTTTTTTGGTAACCTAGGGAGAGTCAGAGTGTGTGTGTGTGTGTGTGTGTGTGTGTGTACAGAATTATAGCATAAACTCCTGAAAAATTTACGATAGATAACTAGCCAGAATAAAGAGGACTGATCATGTGTAGATGCCAGCTGCGTAAAAGAACGGTCAACTTTGACAGGAAACCAACCTATAGATTTGCCATCTTCACAGGTCTCAGTGTATACTAGACAGCATCATGGGTTATGATGCTACCATAAGTTTCGGTTATAATGTAGATATCAGGGATTATGATATTTCAATAAGTTTCATCTTAAATATTTTAGACGAGGAGTTACATTTCTACAAGTTTCATTCGCAGTATTTTGGACATTATCAAGGGTTAACATATTTTGAAGTGTTTCGTGTACAATATTTTGTTATATGGGATTATGATGTTAGGACAAATTTCGTCGGCAATATTTGAAATGCCATATATATTCTAATCTCTGATGGTAGTTGTATGCAAAATATTTTTGACAAGATCATATTGTGAGAGTACTGAAAACATTTGCTTTGGCGGTCAGAGTTAGGCCTGTAGTAAGTATAGACAAATAATACATGGTTAAAGTAAATCTTATTATTTCATTTGCTTGACATGCCTACTTCTTCACCTTTTATGGATTAGGTCCCCTGTCCTTCTCCCAATTCAGAATTGACTTCTAACACTATTAATACATTTTAGATATTTGGTAGGACTTCATGGAAAAAGGGTCGGCCTATTTTAAGGCCTCTATCTGTTCATAGGACGACCGCCTCTGTGGTCTAGTGGTCAGAGTTCCTGGCTACAGATGCAGAGGTCCCGGGTTCGATTCCGGTCGTTACCAGATTTCCTGAGAAGTAGTGGGTCTGGAACGGGATCCACTCAGCCTCGTGAGGATAACTGAGAAGCTATTTGAAGGAAATGGCGGCTACGGTCTAGAAAAAAGAAGTTGACGGCCGTGGGGATCCGTTGCGCTGACTACGCCACACGCTCTATCCGCTACAGTTGGCACTAACTTCCCCGATTAGCGGCGGTCGCTCGGTCGGTATAGTTAGCTTGCGGACTGGAAGCACGGAGTTTGTTTTGTACCT